ATATTCCCCAATTCCACATTCTCCAATTCCCACATTCCCCAATTCCAACATTCCTCAATTCCACATCCCCCAATTCCACACTCCCAATTCCCACATTCCCTAACTCCCACATTCCCCAATTCCCATATTCCCCAATTCCACATTCTCCAATTCCACAGTCTCCAATTCCCACATTCCCCAATTCCACATTCCCCAATTCCAACATTCCCCAATTTCCTCAGATGCTCTATAAGCTTTCTGTAGGTTCTAGGTTCTTGCCAAGTTTTCAGATTGCAACTAAAATAAAAAAATGGTGAGAGACTCTACCCTATCCCTCTGTCCTCAACCAAGAAAAATTAATTAATCTATGACTGTCATTACTATACAAATAATTAATTAGTATTTTGTTGTGTCCATATAGAGTCTACATCACCAAAGAATTAGAAATTCAAAGTGTGCCGCAACGCACGTTTCCCTCCAACAATTTTGTCAACTTTTTGCTCGTATTTTCTAGCCATGCCCCTTTCGTCATCGACTTTCGGCACCTTGTTCTTCGTGTCCCGTGTCACGAAAACCGAGGGCGATATTACGCAACGAAGACGATTTCGTTCGTAGACTCATTGCAAATCGGCGTTCTTTTTGTTAACGCGTTCACCAAACCACATCGAGAAATCAGAAGATTTCGATGTTGTGTAATGATATTGAGAAACTATTTGTCATTGAGAACAATTAAAGCAACGGGGTGTTTGAGGAATGACAACATAGGTAAACGTTTCTTGGGAATGAGGAAAGAAAGCGGGACAACTGTATGGATAGTACAATCATAATTTTTTGTTAGTGATACATTTTTGTTGTAGAGAGATCTCTGTATTTTTAAATAGATACATTGTGAGATTTCTGCAGGTATAGATTTTTACGTTTTCTAATTTCTGTATTTATAGATGCTTGCATTTATCAATTCCAACATTCTTCAGTTCCAAATTTTTCAATTTCCACATTTGTCAATTCCATCATTCACCAATTCCATCATTTCCCAATTCCATCATTCCTCAATTCTGTCATTCACCAATTCCATCATTCCTCAATTCTGTCATTCCCCAATTCCATCATTCACCAATTCTATCATTCACCAATTCTATCATTCCCCAATTCCATCATACCCTAATTCTATCGTTCCCCAATTCCATCATTCTCTAATTCCATCATTCTCTAATTCCATCATTCGCCAATTTCATCATTCCCCAATTCCATCATTCACCAATTCTATCATTCACCAATTCTATCATTCCCCAATTCCATCATACCCTAATTCTATCGTTCCCCAATTCCATCATTCTCTAATTCCATCATTCTCTAATTCTATCGTTCCCCAATTCCATCATTCTCTAATTCCATCATTCGCCAATTCCATCATTCCCCAATTTCATCATTCTCCAATTCCATCATTCCCCAATTCCATCATTCCCCTATTCCATCATTCGCCAATTTCCACATTCCCCAATTCCCACATTTCCACATCCCTACATCCCCGTATCCCCACATCCCCAAATTCCTACACTCTTCAATTCCTACATCCCCAAATTCCTACATCTCCACATCTCTACATCCCCGATTTAATACATCCTACAATTCCTACATCATCAGATCCCTACATCCCCGATTTCTACATCCCCGATTCCTCACATCCCTTCTCCCAACATCTCCAAATCCTCACATCCTCGCCTCCCACATTCCCAACTTCCCTCACCCACATATCCTTCTCTCCTTAGACTCCTATCCTCCTATATCTCTAGATCTCTATAACAAATCACATTTTGCAACATATACATTAGTCTAAATTCCTACTTTCACAACTCCGTGTGGCCCTCCCAAAAAGTGGTCTGGTGTTACGTAATGGTGACTCTCCGAAGTGGTCCCCGTAATCGTCTTTCTCACCTTGTCTGGTCACCGGGTGCACCCAACATGCAAGATATCCCCGATTATACAGAAAGGGGTTACGAAACGCTTTCTCCCTGTATGATGGATATTTTAAGCATGCAGGCTGCACCGCTTCCTGCAACACTGGCCGGTCCTACCCGTAAAAAAACAAAACAAGAGCGATTGCAACAGCGACATGGTCTCGACCGTTACCTTGCTCTTAACACTGACTCCTTTCTCAAAATGAGCCGTTTCGATCATTTAGAAAGTTACCGAACCCATTCGACGCATTCGAACGGAAGTTCGACAGGAATCTGGATTTTAACGATCTACTCTTTTCTGTTCCTTTTCCTTGCGTTCTATATTGCCGCAGGATTTTAATCGATGGGTTTATGTCGTTAATTATACCTTTGATTGATAGAAGTCTTTTTGGTCGCATGATAAAAATGTTATAGGAAGTGTTTGTTAAATTTAGTAAGATATTGTGTGACAGTATGTTTGTATAAAAATAGTGGAGAAAATTAAAGAATTAAATCTTTTCTCCTAATTGACAGTTAAAAAGAGGAAAACAATTTTCCAGCTGGTTGATTAGGTTAATACTGTTAATTGCACGTCTTGATTGTGCTTAGAGTGTGCACTTTCTACAGTCCTATTTCCTCAGACCCACAATTACTAACCACTGTGAGATTAATTAAATTATACAGCTAAAGTTCGTACATTGTAAATAATAACACATCTCAAGTTCAAATGGTGGCTCCGATGATCACGCGATCTACGATTCTAACCTAACCTAATTTGAGAACCACAAACTAAAATCAACAAAATGTGCACAAGATGTGGTATCCGTTTAATTTCCGTGTGAGATCAATTAACAAAATGTATAAAATAGAAATGTAGAAGTTAAGAAGAAGTAGAGAGTAAAATCGATTCGAGGAAAATCGCACAGTAAATTGTTAGAGAATATCTGGGATATTATCTCGGAAGGAAATAAACGAAATTGTCGACCGGAAGAGAGAAAGGTTTCGCAATTCCAGCAAGAAGCAGAACGAAACAAAGGCTGTAATCTTTTCACGATTAAGCGAATGTTTATCGAAGGGAAGAGGACACGTGTCATTAGACGCTTCTTGATAATTTGGCTTTCCGTTTCCAATTGGTTCCGATCGAGCGACGATGAACCAGATAACTGTGAACCAGCGAACTGGCTTCGAATTAACAGGTAATAAAGCTGTTATGATAGTCGGAATTGTATCACGAGAACATTAACGAGCGGATCAAACAGAATTGGAGTTTTTGTAACGTTCCGAAATTACGCAAGGGACACGTAACAGAATTTCTCTTTTTCGCAAAGAATATGTTAATCGTCTTTAAAAGTGTCACTGATGCGCAGAACCTGATAATAATAAATTACATTTGATTACTGTATTTAATAAATAATAATTGTATTTAATTTATTTATTTATTTAAATTGTCTGTCGTTATTAATTGCAATGATATAATTTATTTATAGGATTTTGCAAAACTTTTCAGTGAAATCGATCACGTAATGCAAAAATTCCACTAGTGTCGTCCTGTTACGTGATACCAGGATGACATGAAGTGCTTTCCATTTAAAACCAAATATCGCTGAATTTATTGCTGATATTTATGTCATATTGATGTATTCATGAGTATTACGAATGCTATCCGATGTAAATTTATTTTTTGTTGCAAAAATTTGAACATTTAAAGTTCAAAGATACAAATGCGAGTGTAAGATGTGACTCGTTCTGATTTAAATATTCACTACCGTTATTTAAGAAACTTATGATCTGAAATTTATAGTATTATTTCATTATCAGACTTTTGTTGGAAGCCCAAAAGATTTAGACCTTTGAAGTACTGAAGTTATGAAGCTATTAGTTTCTAAAGATTTGTTGTGTTAATGCAGAGTCCATAATTATGGGATATCAAGGTTTACAGGATTTAAAGATCTGAAGTTTCTGAATGAGAAAATTTGGAACTTACAATGCTTTGGGATCTGAAGGTTGAGGGTGGTTTATAAATTTGAGGATGTAGATCCCTAAGTTCTAAATTGACATTCACAAGTTACCATATACAAATCTCCAAATCTCTAGGTTCCCAAACTATCAAAGCTTCAAATTCTCGTATCCCCAAATTCTCACATTTCCAAATCCTCACATTTCCAAATCCTCACATCTCCAAATCCTCACATCCCCAAATTCTTACATCCTGAAATCCTCACATCCCCAAATCCCACATATCCCAAATCCCACATATCCCAAATTCCACTTATCCCAAATCTCACATATCCCAAATCCCACATATCCCAAATCCCACATATCCCAAATCCCACATATCCCAAATCCCACATATCCCAAATCCCACATATCCCAAATCCCACATATCCCAAATCCCACATATCCCAAATCCCACATATCCCAAATCCCACATATCCCAAATCCCACATATCCCAAATCCCACATATCCCAAATCCCACATATCCCAAATCCCACATATCCCAAATCCCACATATCCCAAATCCCACATATCCCAAATCCCACATATCCCAAATCCCACATATCCCAAATCCCACATATCCCAAATCCCACATATCCCAAATCCCACATATCCCAAATCCCACATATCCCAAATCCCACATATCCCAAATCCCACATATCCCAAATCCCACATATCCCAAATCCCACATATCCCAAATCCCACATATCCCAAATCCCACATATCCCAAATCCCACATATCCCAAATCCCACATATCCCAAATCCCACATATCCCAAATCCCACATATCCCAAATCCCACATATCCCAAATCCCACATATCCCAAATCCCACATATCCCAAATCCCACATATCCCAAATCCCACATATCATCCCACATATCCCCAATCCCACATATCCCCAATCCCACATATCCCCAATCCCACATATCCCCAATCCCACATATCCCCAATCCCACATATCCCCAATCCCACATATCCCCAATCCCACATATCCCCAATCCCACATATCCCCAATCCCACATATCCCCAATCCCACATATCCCCAATCCCACATATCCCCAATCCCACATATCCCCAATCCCACATATCCCCAATCCCACATATCCCCAATCCCACATATCCCCAATCCCACATATCCCCAATCCCACATATCCCCAATCCCACATATCCCCAATCCCACATATCCCCAATCCCACATATCCCCAATCCCACATATCCCCAATCCCACATATCCCCAATCCCACATATCCCCAATCCCACATATCCCCAATCCCACATATCCCCAATCCCACATATCCCCAATCCCACATATCCCCAATCCCACATATCCCCAATCCCACATATCCCCAATCCCACATATCCCCAATCCCACATATCCCCAATCCCACATATCCCCAATCCCACATATCCCCAATCCCACATATCCCCAATCCCACATATCCCCAATCCCACATATCCCAACTCCTCACATCCCCAAATCCTCACATATCCAACTCCTCACATCCCCAAATCCTCAAATCCCCAATTCCTCACATCCCTAACTCCTCAAATCTCCAAATCTCCAAATACTCAAACCCCAATATCCCAAAATCCTAAAACTCTAATCCCTCAAAACATCACCATCTCTCGAAACGTCCACACCCAAAAGCAATAATTCCCCACATCTTACTTAATCTCCAAAAAAAGCATTCCACTCACCTTCATAACCTTCTCGACAGACCTCGACATCTTCCTGACAGACCTCGAAACGTTTCGCGCCACTGAACTCACTCATCCATAATTCAGTAAAATGACGGAAACGCACTCGCGTAACAACGCATCCTTCCCGAATTAACGGCGCGATCGCGAGTCAGCTTTTTGCCGATTCGAGCTGAACAGATTATGTCCAGAAAGTCGCACACGTGCCCGCGTACGCATCGTACGTTTTGTGTTACGCAGCCCGTGGAACACACACGGAACGGACGTAACAAGCGTTGGCCGCTTCCTAGCTTTTACGTAACCGTAAAGTCGAGCGACTTTGCTCTCCCACCTCGGTGGCTTTTCACCGGGTGCTTTTGGCCACCTCGGTTCGTCCTTTATAAGCACACATCCCTGGCCGTTCAAAGCCAGAAACGTATCGACAACCGTGAAACGGTCACCGTCTTCGGAGTCATTTTCTATTTTTTTTTTTCAATTCGAAACCTTCGACGTTTCGCGGGTTAGCGACGAGTTTCAGAGGGTAGAAGCTAAAGAGTCTAGACAGCCGAGCAAGATGCGCTCCCAGTCCTTCGCCGTGAGTAGATCGTTCTTCATGGAGGCTGATTTTATTTGTGAACAAATGTGATCGCGAAGCAGTGAGCTGTGAACGTAGATTGTCGTTTGAGAATTTTGTGTCAGACTCGGTTTCGGAAATTATTCTTGGTGAATATTCGCGTGGTGACGCTTTTGTGTCGCGAGGTTTCAATTTATATTTTTTTTTATTAACATTAATCACACCTTATTTTGGCAGACGTACATTTTTTTACGGATCTTTTACTGCTTTTGTAACCAGATTTTTCTGTGAGTACTCTCATGGTGATTTGTGGTTCACTGAAGGATCGGTAAAATTTTTTAAAGTCTTCATAAAATATTTTATGAACGTATATACATTCTGGATATTAATTTAGAAATGCACCCTGCGAAATGCTTAAAATGTGAATTGTTTTTACATGTATAATTAGTAGACAATTAGAAGACTTAAAGAGTAAATGAATTTTTGTACAAGACGGAAATTTGGTTGATTATAAATTCCGTGTGATCGACTTACCGAAAATTAGAACGAGACACTTTCACCCTATTGTCACGCGAGCGCCGCGAATCACGTAGAACAGTGAAACTTCAAAAAAGAAACAAAAACGTATTGTCGCGCATATAAATGGTCGGTGCACTTTTCGCCTTACGAATCAGAAATTCACATTCGTGTTGCAGCTGATCGTGTTCGGAATATTCGCCGTGGTAGTGTCTTCTCCGGCACCTGGATATCACGGGTAAGTGCATTGGGTTATAAACCTCGAGTGGGAGTTTGGAAATTTCGGAGAAATTGCTTGGGAAATTACCGAGTTGGGAACTTGGGAATTTTGGGATTTAAGGATTTGGGGATTTGGGGATTTAGGGATTTGGGGATTTGGGGATTTGGGGATTTGGGGATTTGGGGATTTGGGGATTTGGGGATTTGGGGATTTGGGGATTTGGGGATTTGGGGATTTGGGGATTTGGGGATTTGGGGATTTGGGGATTTGGGGATTTGGGGATTTGGGGATTTGGGGATTTGGGGATTTGGGGATTTGGGGATTTGGGGATTTGGGGATTTGGGGATTTGGGGATTTGGGAATTTGGGGATTTGGAGATTAGGGGATTTAGGGATTAGGGGATTTGGAGATTTAGGAATTTGGAGATTGGGGTATTTGATGATTAGGGGATTTAGGGATTTAGGGATTTGGGGATTTGGGGATTTGGGGATTTGGGGATTTGGGGATTTGGGGATTTGGGGATTTGGGGATTTGGGGATTTGGAGGTTTGGGAATTTGGAGGTTTGGGAATTTGGAGGTTTGGGGATTTGAAGGTTTGGGAATTTGGAGGTTTGGGAATTTGGAAGTTTGGGGATTTAGGGGTTTGGAAATTTGGAAGTTTGGGGATTTAGGGGTTTGGGGATTTTTAAGTTTGGGAATTTGAAGGTTTGGGGATTTGTAAATTTGGGAGCTTATAGATCATAACATTTAGAATTTTAGATATTTGGAGATTTGAACATTTGAGGATGAGAGGCTTTGGAAATTCAGCAACTTACTAACTTTGATATTTATGATATTGGATATTTGGTTGGAGTTGAGTATTTGAGGATTTTAAATATTTACAGTTTTATGGATTATGAGATTCGAAGATTTTTTAATTTGTAAACTTGTAAATGAAGTGAATATGACAACTGAAGTATTTCACATTACAAAAATTTGTAACTCCAGCATTTATAAATGAAATATTTAACATTCCCACACAGTATTTCTCAAAGCCAATAGCTAGTGAAAATTTCCTTCCCTACAATTGTCCATATCCAAACGAAGTACCTTGTGGCATTAAAGAGAAACACTAAACTAATTTTAAAGGTAATCGATTGGATGATTTCAGTTCGCACCACCACGTACGTATCCACGTGCCTTATCACGTGCACACGGTCCATCATCATCACGTGAAGAAGGTACCCGTGCACGTTGTCGAGAAGGTCCCTGTTCCCGTTCCAATTCCGATTCATCATGTGAAGAAGGTGGCTGTTCCGGTACCAGTGCACCATGTTGAAAAAGTACACGTTCCTGTTCCAATTGTCGAGAAGGTTCATGTACCTGTACACGTACCTGTTCACGAAGAGAAGCCATGGTGGTGATGGGAGCGCACCGTCTTTCGGCTTGTTATTGCTTAGGTAATTTAATATTATTAAATAAAATGGTGAATAGTACTTTGATGATTGAATACTTGTATTAAATAATAGTGATTGATACTTGGGTAAGGGAGTATCTTTGTGAGATAATTTTGAATGAGAGACAATTAATGTTTAGACAATTTAATGTTTATGTGAAACAATAAGTTAACAAATGAATGTCTACATAAAATAATATTGAATAGTACTTAGGTAATGGAGTATCTTTGTCAGATAATTTTAAGTGATTTTTAGACAATTTAATGTTTGTGTGAAACAATGATACGTAAACAATTGAGTATCTACATAAAATAATATTAAATAGTACTTAGCTAATGCAACATCTTTGTCAGATAATTCTGAGTGATATTTAAACAAATTAATACTTGTATAATATAATGATAAATGATACGTAGACAACTGAATGTCTAAACAAAATAATATTAAATAGTACTTAGGGAGTTTGGTACATTTTAAAAAAGTTGAAAAAATGAAGTAAGGAGTTGTTATTCTGTTTCAGGTTGTAAAATGAGGGCATTCGGGTTACTGAAGTTCCATCTCTGATTTCGTTTGACCCACTTTTCGGAAGTATGCACGATAGAAGAAAAGAGTATAAAATAGTACAAAATAACTCGAATCGCCTGTCTTAGTCATTTAAGTATGTAATATAGGATTATCGTCACTTGGTATGCACATGTGTGTACTCAGTTCAAAGATACTTGTACATACTGTATTATGTTACATTATTTTTTTATACAATACACGTGTTTAACAAATATTACTTATTGTCTTTCTGTTCTTTCCTGTGCATTTCTGAGATAAATTTATAGTTACATGATGAGAGTGTGAAGGGAAATTGAATTTAGGGATAAATACATTAAAAGATATATTAAAAATATTTTAAATTTTCATCGAAGTTCATAGCAATTTATTTTAATATAGAAATTAAAATTGCAGCCATAACGCCATCAAGTAAAGCTACAATATAGTAGTTTCTCAACATTTTTTATTCCATAAAATATTTGGCAATTATTAACAATTATATACAATAATAACAAGCAACAATATTAACAGTTAACATATTCAATAACTTTGGTGGTTTAAGTAATTCACCAGTCTTCTATATGTTCGTGTCCATCGTCTCCTCCTTCATCGTGGTGTTTTATGTGAATCTTCTTGACATGCGTGTGGTGATGCTTGTGAATGAGTTCGGGTATGTGGAGGATGAAGTGTGTGCTGAAATAAATATCTTGTTGAACAAATGTTAATGCATTTTATCGTAATTATAATTGAGGTAAATAATTACTGTTCGTGATGGCCGCCGCCGGGGTAGGGCATCGAATATACAAGGGTGAACGACACTAACAGTGTGAGAAGAAAAACCTAAAATCAAAAATTAAATTGTGTTGGTATTTTTTGAAGTAAAGTTCAAAATTGAAATATTAGAGTGAGAGTTTGTGATTATGAAAGAATTCTTTTTACAAATATATTGCAATTAATTGAAGATATGTTACTTTACTGTATAAATATTTATTATTTATTAAATTCCTAAATTTGCTATTTACTGTTTATTAAATATCTAAGTTTACTGTTTACTGTTTATTAAATATTTACTATTGACTATCTATAAAAGAATTTAAATTTTGTTCACATGTTTAATATTCGCACGGCTATCTTTCTCCTTCCAAGACAACTACCGATATCAACGAAGAATCACAAATACCTTTTCTAAAAATACGAAGAAAAAATCTCGAACGCAAAAGAATCTCACAATCTAAAAGTTCGCGTTCGTACAGAAAAATTTTAGAGAATCACTCGAATGAAAAGAAGTTGAAAAGTGCACCCACGTGTGTTCGCAGTTTCTCCATCTCTTGGTGATTGCTTCGACTGAAATCTGAGTCTGTTTTCCGAGGCCGCTGTTCTTCGGGAACTAAAATATCGAACCCTGGCAAGCCTTATAAACGAAAACACAATCAGTGAATGGTACAGGAACGAAGGAAAATAGTTCCTGTACACCCCACCCAATCCTGCTCACTCTCACCTGAGATCACCTGAAATTCTACGAGAACCTTCTATCATTGTCGTAGACATCGTCCTATCTCTCATTTATAAGAAATACCCTTACATATGATTGTGTATCAACTTTGTTGCTTAATTGCTTTATTTCGTGATTGCTTGGCTACATAATTATCTACACAGTTATAATTACTTGATTACTTAGCTCTTTGGTTTTTTGCCTACTTAATTATTCAGTTGCTTAATCACTTATTAATTATATATTTAAGTAATAACTTTGTTGGTGAGGTTAGGTTAAGTTTGACTACTTAATTATTTAGGCACTTAATTACTTAGTTATTACATATCTATTTAAGTAATAACTTTATTGGTGAGGTTAGGTTAGGTTTGACTACTTAATTATGTAGGTATTTAATTACTTTATTATTAATTACATATTTAAGTAATGACTTTGTTGGTGAGGTTAGGTTAGGTTTGACTACTTAATTATTTAGGTACTTAATTATTTAGTTATTACATATATATTTAAGTAATAACTTTGTTAGTGAAGTTAGGTTAGGTTTGACTACTTAACTATGTAGGTACTTAATTACTTTATTATTAATTACTTATTTAAGTAATAACTTTGTTGGTTAGGTTAGGTTAGGTTAACCTATTTGCGCATAAAATATATTTAATCATTTACTTACTTATTTATATAGTCACAGATAAATATTTAATTACTCAGACACTTGGTTGCTTAGTTATTTAATTATTTAGGTTCTTAATCACTTAGTTAATTAGTTAGATAGTTGCTCATATATTTAGTTATTTATTTACCTAGTTATCTATGTAGTTACAATTAGCTACTTTGGTTGCTTGACTACTTAATTATTTAATTACTTAATCACTCAGTTAATTGTCTTTTTATATATTTAATATACCTCAAAGTACTTGTGCATTTAAAATACTAGTCAAAAGCAATGAAGAACACCAAAAACAATAAAAAAGGAAGATAATTAACAAATGAACAGACATTTTAAGTCTAATTCCAAAGTTGTGACTCAACCAGAAATTAACTAAATAACTAAACATTGCAAAAAAGATTACCTGTAACTTGAAATCGTAGTGATTCATAACCACATATCACGTTATCACATCTCCATTCATAATCGCATGTTTCACACAGCATTAAGATGTTTAGGTAACTAGACACATTTATTACTAGTATTATGATAACAAGATTGCAAGTCTTCGTTTCACGGTGAAACGTACACATTTCTTCTTCCATCCTCCTCAGAACAAAATAAAAGAGAACTATCGGTTTGTCGTACAGATCGATACCAATTGATTGGAAAGTTGCAATCGATATACGAAGGCTCTGTTACAATTTTCGAGGAAAAAATCAGAGTGAAAACGACCCTTCGAGAGATTTCGATTCTTCAGTGTTTCGAACACACTTTCTCTGACTACTATTACTGTAATGATAGTAATAACACATTGTTGTTATCTGTCATTTGCAGACATAATCTGTTTATCGTAATCTCTCCGTTTGTGAATCTATTGACAACTGAAATGGAATGATTCCATCGATCGTGGAACGTGTAATTTATTGGTACATGCTTTTATTTTGAGTTTATCGATGGAAAGGCAGTGGCAATCGATTAGAGATCATTAATCAAATCACTGAGTTCACTTTTAGTCTTTATTTGAGTTACTAACATTTTGTGTTAGGATATTCCCCAATTCCACATTCCCCAATCCCACATTTCCTAATTCCACATTCCCCAATTCCACATTCCCCAATTCCCAAATCCCCCAATTCCCAAAT